ATCTGCTCTGTGCTTCATCCAACTGGCTGCTGACCAGAGTCTCCCTCATCTCCCTTTAATGCACCTCTCTGAATTTAACTGGTGCTAATTCACCAATGAAAGAGTGGCTCGAATGAAGAGGTGAGAGAATGGACCCTTGGACATGTTCCAGCCAGACTCTCTGTTTAATGAAAGACGTCTGTACTGCGGTGATTTGCTGCTTTGTAATGTTTGTCATTGCTTCAAGGATCTATAAGGTGAGGCCAGCAGCAGCTCTGTCTCCATAAATCGGATTTTAACAGCACATCATTTGGACGCTGGTTCAGCCTGGCTCGGTGGTTCAGAGGATGTTTCTGTGTTTTATGGCTCCTGGATCAGAGGTTTATTTTATTTCACAGACATTCAGATGTTTTAAGGACATTATTAGTTAAATTCATTAGCTTCCTCTCACATATATCTTTCTAAAATCTAAACAGGGATTTAGTTTGTTTTTCTTTTAACTATTGATCCATTTGGTCTGCAGAACAAAAAGAAAACATGACTTCATAACAGCTGCCTTAATTAAAATCTGACCTCTCTCCTTGTGTGTTAATTATCTTCACCAAGGAGGTTAGCTGCTTTTTTGCTAGCAGGATTACATTAAAATGTGTTGGTACCTGTCACACAAGGCCAGGTTGATTTTATACTGTTTTTCCTCCTTTAATGGGAAATTAAACTCAGTAAATTTCAATATTTAATGTTATATTAAGTAATGTATTAATGATATATTTCAGGGGTGTAAATCACACCCATCATGGCGATTCGATTCAGTATCGATTTCCTGACCCAACAATTCGATATATATATATGTATATATGTATATATATATATATATATATATATATATATATATTCGATACTTTCGATACTCAAGAATGCATCATCTTGCCTACCTCTTCTTTCACCTCCGCTATCTCCGCCATGTCTGTCTTGCTTACTGTGCATGTGGAAAGAGGGTAGTGGCTAAAGGAAGCGTGGTAGGAAAAAAAAAAACGGAGACACAGAGGAAGTAAAAAAAAAAACATTAATCGATACTCTTGCACTGTCGATATATTGGATCGTCGGCAGGGATTGATGCATCGAACAAAACGATTATTATTTAAACCCCTGGTATATTTGGTGCTCTATAGAGACATTTAATGTTAGATTTATTATTTCTGATCAGGAACCTGTAGCCACTGCTGATTGGTTGAGTAGAAGGTCACATGACACAGGTTTAGCTACATGCTGCATCAGTATGAAAAGCATTTTTAAAAGGATTGATTGCCTTTTCTCTGCTTCTTTTTCTTTGACTGCTTTTGTCTCCTTGAACCCCAGTGGGCCTCAGCAGATGGCCGCTCACACTGAGCCTGGTTCTGCTGGAGGTTACTTCCTGTTCAAAGGGAGTTTTTCCTCTCCACTGTTGCTACAAGCATGCTTAGTGCTTAGGGATTGCTGAAGAGTCAATGAGTCGATGCAATCAGCTGGTTTTCCTTAGATAGAAAACTTTGAATCAATTTTACTGTTTGATCTGGTGAACTGGAAAGTGCCTTGAGATGACATGTGTTGTGCGCTATAGAAATAAACTGAAGTGAATTTGTTCTTTCATCTCCTCTGACATTCAGGTAAATGGAAGGAACTTGCTGTCTGTGGACTACGATCGCACTCTGCGGACGGAGAAGGTTTATGACGACCACAGAAAGTTCCTGTTAAAGATCATCTATGACACCCAGGGTCATCCCACGCTGTGGGTTCCCAGCAGCAAGCTGCTCTCTGTTAACCTGACATACTCCAGGTAAGAGCTGCTGGAGGGGTTACAGGGCGGGTTCCACCGTCCATCAAATGATAACCTGGATTCATGCTATGCGTGTGTGTTTTTCAGCACGGGGAAGGTGACAGGGCTCCAGAGGGGTCCAACCACAGAGAGGTGGGAGTACGACAATCAAGGAAGAATCATTTCTCGAGTCTTTGCTGATGGGAAGATATGGAGCTACACTTACCTGGATAAGGTAACCCTTTCTACGACACTCAGTGAAATAATTCGAAAATCAAAACTTAAAGCCTTTAGTGTTATTGGAATCCAGGACAAAACCTTATTACCTTTGGAACATTAAAAAATATGGATATTATGATGCCAAAAATTAAAGTCATTGTAATAACAAGAAATGCCAACTTGCCCTAAATATGACTAAATATAACTAAAGTGCTTCTATAAGAAATATATAAAAAA